GTGAGTAACCTTTTACAGTCAATGATGGTGGGTGGGTGTGTGGCTGCCATGCCACTTCTCAAAATGATCCCAACCTCTGTACTTTGGGGCTATTTTGCATTCATGGCAATCGAAAGCTTGCCAGGCAATCAATTCTGGGAGCGGATCTTACTGCTCTGCACACCCCCAAGCAGAAGATACAAGTAAGCAAGCAAGCAAGTTGCTGTTGGCCTGCGTTCCATCTAACTTTCAAGCTGTTGGCCTGCGTTCCATCTAACTTTTTTCTTTCTTTCTTCCTTGGTGGGATAGGGTTCTAGAAGGCTATCACGCGACATTTATGGAATCAGTGCCTTTCAAGACAATAACAGTTTTCACCATATTCCAAGCAGCATACCTGGTGGCATGCTTAGGGATCACATGGATCCCCATCGCCGGGGTGTTGTTCCCCCTAATGATCATGTTGCTTGTCCCCATAAGACAATTCGTTTTGCCCAAGTTTTTCAAAAGGGCACACCTTCAAGAATTAGACGCTTCAGATTATGAAGAATTTTCAGCTTTACCATTCACCACGAGTGGTGGCAGCACTAGATCGGTAAGCTCTACCATACTATTCATGTATTATCAGTTAAGTGTAATATCCATCCTTACCTTTTAGAAGGAACTCCAAATCCCTAACAATCGGGTGCTGTGCTGGTTGAAAATGACTTACCTTTTAGAAGGTATTCATTTAGTTTAATTGCAAGATTATTTCTCCCACTAGTAAAGAAGTTTAAGTCCTATTGGAAAATGACTTATGATTTAGTCTTATTTAATCCAAATATTTAATCCAAATTTTTCTTTGATTAATAGTGCACAATTAAGATCTAATTCGTATTAAAATATAAGGTAATAATGTAATAAATCTATCGAAAGATAATCAAATGTGCTCAAATAACCATGACGGCTTTGGGATGAAAGTGTAGATGATATGAAATTACTTACCAACAAGGTTTGATCAAACAAGAGTTGGGGTATGATCCTGTACCGTGAAGATGCATGTGTCAATGACCCACTCGTGTTGGCTTCCATAGAAATGTCATTTGCCCGTTTCTATGGAGAAGTAAACAATATCAAAACCACGGAGCAAGGGAAAGTAAATTCTGTTTCCGCAGCTCAAAGAAAGTATGACAGAGGATGATGTTGGGTTGAGATATAAGTCATATCCTGACTGTAAAAAAAAAAATTCATCCCGACTGTTATATTTTGTCAAAAATGCCACTATGATTTATTTTGTCCAAGCAATAAAAAAGCATCTTTAAACAATACACCAGCCAAGGGCTCTGGCAAAGCGCGCGGGTTGCCCACCCCGAATTCCCCCATCTCTTTCTTTGATTTATATTTAAGAACGAACACTCGCACAGATTTT